CCATAATAATAAAAGCTTGGGCTCGTAGGAATGCTTACTTGAATTATGGTAATTTGCTTCATCAATTAGTCAACCTTCAATGATCACCTCCTAACAAGGAGTTAGTGAATTTCTTGGAGCAGATGCAAACGCAACGCCTGCAAAAGCTGCTGTCCTTGCCACATCACTCATACCAGCCCCATCTAGCCTTTCTGATCATCTGCATATTCATTCAAAAGCACTATCCCCCCTCCACCAAAACCCTCAAGAACAAAGTTTTAATTTAAATTTATTTTAATCTAAGTAAGGAAGTCAGCAGGTGCAGTTAGATCTTAAAATTAGAAGATATGAGAAAAAAAATTACCAAACATAACCATTTTGTAAACACTGCAATCAAGCACCTTGCCCTCCCATTTTCATCAATTTACCCTATTAAAAAACAGCTGGAGGCTGGCACAGTGCCTCACTCCTATAAATGTGGCACTTTGGGAGGCCAAGGTGGGTGAACTGCCTGAGCTCAGGAGTTTGAGACCAGACTGGGCAACATGGTAAAACCCCTTCTCTACGAAAATATAAAAAATTAGCCCAGGTTCAAGTGATTCCCTTGCCTCAGCCTCCCAAGTAGCTGGAGTTACAGGTGTCTGCCACCATGCCCACCTAATTTTTTTTTGTATTTTTAGTAGACATGGGGTTTTACCATGTTGGCCAGGCTGGTCTCGAACTCCTGACCTCAGGTGGTCCACCAGCCTCAGCCTCCCAAAGTGCTGGGATTACAGGCATGAGCCACCTCGTCTTGCCTTAATTGGTATTTTAACTTTGTATGCTGGAGCTTGAACTGTTAACTGTAGGTCATTCTTTCCTTCGCAGGTTACTGTCAGTGATCTGCAGTGAAAATACTCCCTATGGGTCTCAGATGTTGAGATAAACATGTGTTAGTTGATACACTAATTGACCAGTAGAGAACTAGAGATGGAAATAATCATCAAAGGTCATTTATGTGGTTGGAAATGTACAGTATATGTCATAATGGAAAACGGTCATGAAAATTATGTTTGCATAGCTGAGAAAGAACAAATATTGAGAGAAAAAAATGTTTATTTGTGTAGTTTGGGGGATGGGTAAAAGGAATGATATTGGAAGATTATTCCATAACATTTTAAAGTGATTTTCCTGCTCATCCAAAAGTATATTTATTTTTAAATGTTCTTGTTCAAAGATAAAGTTACTCTGCTAAACAATATTGTAAGAGTTACTGTTTCATGTAGGAACAGTTCTTTTTCTAAGCACTAAAATATTAATAACAACAAAAAAAATAGGTTGAGGTTTTATACACTGTAAGTTCTCGAAGACGAGCTCCTTCCAGTTTAGTCCTTCATGGACTGGCAGACAGTAAGTGCACGTCCTTAAAATCTGAGGTCTGCCTCTCTACTGGCTGTTAAGAGTTTTTTTCCTAAGACTCCATTTTCTCATTGGTAACATGGAGCAACAATACCTACTTACAAAGCGTTCATGAGGATTCATGGGCTATTGTGTATACTGTTTACTAATGAGCTTTCAACTTCTAGTTAGGGCTGCCTTGCCCTCTCTCCTGGCACGTTGTTGGCTTCTGATAGGGCTTTCCCCAGTCTTCTGCATTAACATGTGTGTTAGTCTATTTGCACTGCTCTAAAGGAATACCTGAGACTGGGTGATTTATTAAGAAAAGAAGTTTAATTGACTCATGGTGCTATAGACTGTACAAGCATGGCACCAGTGTCTGCTTGGCTTCTGGGGAGGCCTCAGAGACCATTTACTCCTGGCAGAAGGTGACGGGGAGAAGGCATGTCACATGTGAGAGGAGGAGCAAGAAAGAGGAAGGGGTTCCAGGCTCTTTTAAACAACCAGCTCTTGAGTGAACTAATAGAGTGAGAACACAACTCATCACTATGCCATTCATGAGAGATCCACCCCTGTGACCCAAATATCCCCCACTAGGCCTTGCTTCTAACACTGGAGATCACATTTTAACATGAGATTTGGAGGAGACAAATAACGAAACCCTACTGCCATGCGTCTGTGTCTTCTCACCCTCCCGCCATCACCCCTACAAGATCATCATTCTGCCAGTGATTGGGTGAGGTAGCCAGTAAGGTTTTTTCAACCTCTTGTATAATTCACACTTATTTAGCTTTTGATTGTTGTGAGGATATAGCTACCTGATGGTAAGGTATAATTATTCCTTACTAAAAAAACTGCGGTTCAAGAATGTTAAGTGGGAATCCAAGGAATTGGAGCTCAGAGGAGGCAGCTCAGACCAAAGACTTTTTATCTGAACAACAACAAAACTCCTTTATTCCTGTAAGATTGCAATAAACGTGACTTTCCACCATTGGATAGCACCTATCTCCAGCGCTGTCAACCATCCTGTGTTGGAGATGTCTTCTGACCTCATTGCTGTCTTCTCCACCTACCCAGGCTTGGCAGTACCCCTCTTAAAATGTGGTACGTATGCAATGACTTTTCTATGTGATCTGAAGAGGATTAGGAGGACATTATGTCCAGGCCTACCACCAGCTTGGATCTAGCTCAGGAGTTCCTGGGGGTGAAGGGAGAGAAAGGGGTGGAGCAGGCTGGTGCCAGTGCAGGGCGCAGCCACTGTAAGACTGTAGGGAGCAGTGAGGACCTTGGAGAAGTGGCTGACTTCAATAGCTATTTGCAAACTTTGTTGAACACCAACATAGTTAGTTTAGAAGTTTTTATATAAGGCAGTAGTTTGAATTTCTCTCTTTTACAATGCCCAACTTTAGTTAGGATCAGTAAAAGAAAATACTGTTTATACAATGAAAAATACAAATAATGACCTCAGGGTAACGCTTTGTGTCTTTGAGAGGGGAGAGTAAAGACTTTTTTCTCTTTCCTTTTGATCATTCTGTTCCAGTTGGAGGCCTACCTAGTTTCCAATTTAGTGACTGATGATTGAACCCTATGTATAAGGGGCGTAGAAAGATAAAGAAGGGACAGTCCCTGCCTTCATAGGACTCATGAATATGCTTGTATACAGACTCTTGTGGCTGTAAAATGTATAGAAGTGGGGACAAGCGCACTTGGTGATGTAGATGCAAGACTCCCTTTGGAGCCTGTGGTTTGGGAGATCTGTTTTCAGAGAAACTGATACTGCTGAGGGAGACAGGAACTCTTACTTTCCTTGTGTGTTGAACACAGCCCACCAGTGTATTTTGCAGAATGAGAATAAATTCACATGTAAGGCTCTAACAATCAGAGAACAGACTGTAGACTTTATCCAAGAACATTCTCCTCTTGTTTTTTGAGACAGATCTTGCTCTGTTGCCTAGACTGGAGTGCAGCAGCGTGATCTCAGCTCAAGTAATCCTCCTGCTTCAGCCTCCTGAGTAGCTGGGATTACAGGCACGTGCCACCTCACCTGGCTACTTTTTCTATTTTTGTAGAGATGGGGTTTTATCATGTTGCCCAGGCTGGTCTCAAACTCCTGGCCTCAAGCAATCCAGCCGCCTTGGCCTCCTAAAATGTTGGCATTACAGACGTGAGCTACCATGCCTAGCCGAACATTCTTTTGACTCTAATGACTCCAATTGGTCTAGGGATGGACTGGGACAATTCTAGAATCCCTGTGTCATGGTTTCAGCTTCTTAGGATCATTTTTTACATTTGAAAAAAGTCCAAAGATGCCTGTAATTATTATTAACATTTTTGGGAGACCTTTCTTACTGTTGTGTTCTATGTACCACTCTCAAGTATGCAGAGCTCAAAAACCAGGCACTGCATTTTCTGTTACCTAATACATTAATTACATAGTATTATATGTGTGAAAAGTCATACACTTTATAGACAAGGTTGAACATTAGGTTTCAATGTCTTTCAGTTGATTTCTTAAGACTTATTTGGGCTGGTTCAGCCTGACTCAGCTTTCTCTGCCCTACATTAATTCTATTTTAGCTTTTATCGTAAATTGCTCTCAGACTTTAGGGGAGGTTAAAATTCTCCTGAACACTTTAAAAAAGCCTTGTGAATAGGTCTCTTATTACAAACAGAAAAATGTTCTACTACTTGAGATCAGTTTCCCAACTCACCTAGGTGACCTAAATGATTCTCTTTTCCTTTGCTTCTGGAGAACTGAAAACTTGGGCATTTTTGAGGATGTTATTGTTTCAGCATTTTGAAGAGAATAGTACCTATTATGACTTAAGTCTATAATACCTGATAGTATTAAGGCTTCATAAGTATGTCTACTAGTGGATAATAAAAGAAATATCTTAATAGTACACTTTAGGGCTAAAATAAATAGTAAAATGGTGGTTTTGTAGTAACACAATAGTCACTTATCTGGATGGCCTAGAAGGGATAAATTTACTTAAAATACTTATTCCACTGCTCATGAGACATTGATGTTATCTGTGTCTAGGGTAACCCTGGAAGGTACTGAATAGAAATACAACTTGAGATTGCTGTTCTTCCTTGTGCTTGAGGAACTTCTCCTTTCAGTGATTGGTGATACTGGTGCTGGGAAGTCCCAACTTTTTTCCAGCTGGTTTTCTTTTGGAGACAGAGTCTGGCTCTGTCGTCCAGGCTGGAATGCAGTGGCGCGATCACGGCTCACTGCAATCTCTGCCTCCCGGGTTCAAATGATTCTCGTGCCTCAGCCTCCCAAGTTAACTGGGACTACTGGTATTTAACTGCTATTTTAAATATTTTACGCATTTTAAATACCAGTACCCACACTTGGGTCCAGGAGTTTGACGCCAGCCTGGGCAACACAGCATGACCCCATCTCAAAAAAAAGCAACAAACCAGTATCTCAAAGTTAAATGCCAGTAAAAGACTTACACATTCTAGTACTTGAAAATACAAATGAGGATGCCAAGCTGTTGTCTCTAAGGAAAACCACCAAAGTTAACAGCAAATAGCCAGAAAACCAGGTAGAGAAGCACGTAATTTTCTTATGGGGCAGGAAGTAAGGAATCAATAAAGCACTTAAAGTATTTTATAATAAACTTCTGACTTACGTTTTTCATCATCAGCATGCACCAAAGATGCTGCCCTGGACAAAACATCCAATGGCGTCTCCATTCCTGGTTGGAGCCTAAAAGAAAAAAAATAAAAGGGGAAAAAATAATTTAAACAAAATTCAAAAGACTCTTAGAATCCTAGTCATTAACAGAATGAGTCCTCAACCAAATGCAAATCATTCTTCTAAGGATGAAATTCTTCCCACGTGAAGAAACAGAATGGGCTTGTTTCAGGAAGAGAGAAAAGGGTTAAATTCCATTCAGTCTATTAAGCAGCTCATGTAGGAACTAAAAGAAGGGATACTGTGAATATTCATGCCCATGTTATTTGGTGCTTATAAATGTTTATGTGCATGCACAACATGCCTGTACAGATATGCCCAATTAAAAAAAAAAAGGTTTTCAGAACAAAGGCTGCTCCACGAACACAGCATCACTACCAGTGAAATGGCGATGCAGCTTAATAGAGGGGCAGCTTAACACACGCCACATACTCATGGAAAGCTGTGTGGGAATCCCACTGGTGGGTTAAATGATATTTGAAGTCCAATAAGAATATTTATGTTAAAACGTTACATTTTGTATAATAGTATACTATACAATCATCACCTATCATTAATTTATCTAGCATCATGTTTTGTTTTGTTTTGTTTTTGAGATGGAGTCTTGCTCTGTTGCCCAGGCTGGAGCGCAACAGCACGATCTCAGCTCGCTGCAACCTCCACCTCCCCAGTTCAAGCAATTCTTCTGCCTCGGTCTCCCAAGTGGCTGAAATTACAGGCACGTCACCACACCCGGCTAATTTTTTGTATTTTTAGTAGCGACAGGGTTTCACCATGTTGGCCAGGCTGGTCTTGAACTCCTGACCTCGTGATCCGCCCGCCTTGTCCTGTCAAAGTGCTAGGATTACAGGCGTGAGCCACCGCAGCTGGCCGCATCATGTTTTGTAATAAGATTGGATTTACTGTTGTTTTCTTAAATTACAGCATAATATAAAAGCTAAAACAAGATTAAAAGTTGGAGGAAAGCCCTGGAAAACCAGGATGCTTTTGCCCAGTTTCCCGTTTCTGAGTTATTTAAACACACACACACAGTTACTGGCACACACACACACCTGACTAGCTCAACTGACAAAAACAACTTCTTCACGGTACCACTTCACAGACACTGGCATTTATCCATTATTCTTTCACATTTATGGAGTACCTACCACGTATGCACCGGTCACATGTGGCAGACCAGCTTTTCTTTGTAATATTCATACCTCAGGACTCCAAAGAAATATCAATCCCTGATCATGCAATATGACTTCAGTAAACGCTAAATATCTACAAAGAGGTCCGGGCAGGAAAAATGAGCCAAGCCTAGCAGCTGCCTTTGAAAAGCTTTCAATCTGCATGGGAGACAGGACACCAAGACATCTAGTTTAAGGCAGAATTCTTCCAAAGCATTCTGCACTGGGTGTTCATATTTTGTAACAGAAAAGGTTTTTCTGTGGTAAATAAGTCTGAGGAAGCCTGGAGTAAACTAAGCTAAGCAGCATGTTTTCCTCCCTGTTCCTTTAATCTGCCATGGCACGCTATGGGTAAGAGCAATGGGGACAGAAGCCCTGTACACGTGAAACCTCATAGACGTCATGAGCCGGGTTTTTTTTTTTTTTTTTTTTTTTTTTTTTTTTTTTTTTTTTTTTTTTTTTTTTTTGAGATGGAGTCTCGCTCTGTCAAGCTGGGGTGCAGTGGCCGATCTTGGCTCACTGCAACCTCCACCTCCTGGGTTCAAGAGATTCTCCTCCCTCAGACTCCCAAGTAGCTGGGACTAGAGGCCTGCACCACCACACCCAGCTAATTTGTGTATCTTTAGTAGAGATGGGGTTTCACCATGTTGTCCAGGCTGGTCTCGAGCTCTTGACCTTGAGATCTGCCTGCCTCGGCCTCCCAAAGTGTGGGATTACAGGCATGAGCCACTGCAGCCGGCCATGAGCCGTTTTTAACCTGAAACACCTCAGGGAACACCTTGGGAAATAATGGGTTAGGGCAAAATGTGCAAACTGTCAAAACAGTGCTAGAAAGGAAGTCCTAGAGAAATACAGACAAATTCTGAAAGGCTCTGTGAACAAAACAGAACTTAAGCGGAGCCTCTGAAGAACGAATATAAAAGTTCCTCCCCAAGAAGGGAAGAACAGAAGCAGAATGTTTAACAACACACTGCCCAAATCGCCTCCAAGAGTAAAATGGGGACAGAAAGTAAGTGACAAGGATGGAAATTTAGACAGGGACCACATTGTGAAAGGCCTGAGGGCTTCGATGGGACCACGGCTTGACCTGCATTAAGGAGCCACTGAAAGCTCCATCTCAGCAGAAAAGCAGCTTGGTCCTCCACCCATTCTGGGCAAGTTATCCTGGTGGCACCACATGGAATGGAGTGGAGCTTGGGAAACTGAGCACAGCGTGGACAATGGAAAGCCAGAGCTGTGGACAGGCACACAGAGGACAGAGAGGGGCACTGGCACAGGAGCCGTGGGGACCCAGGAAAATGCAGAGGCAGAGCTTACTGAGCATAGCAAGCAGAGAGGGGAGGGGAGGGCCATGGAAGACTACGAGTGGCGGGGAGGTGTAGGGGCTGGGAGGCAACGACCTCATAACCCACATACATGTCTTCTTTTTCAGAGAGAAGGATGGGTAAAAGCGGACGTCTAAGAGAGAAAACCTAGTGGTGCTCACATTCCTGATCTTCTTTGTAAAACAGAAAAGACCATCTCCTGAGAGGAAGAATTTATGAAGTTGTTCAACAATGGAGAAAACCAACAAGGGTTTGGAACTGACTGACAGAAACAGGTTTGTTGAACTCCCAAGAACTAGGTAATCTCTTCACCCAAGCCAGTTTCCTATTCAGGAAAGATCTGGGTTTAAAGTCTTAGGATTTTGGGTAGTCATTGCTGATAAGCATCCTAGTCTGTAATAATACAGCATTCAGACTGATAATTCCGTAAATTACTTTTATCTCATTAAGTTAAAGGACAATGCTTTCAAAACTCTAGACCCAAACAGATTAACATATGCCTTAGGTTACATAAAGTATGCACAGAAACAAAATATCAAAGCATAAAGCATCAAATGACACAAGGTAGACCCAGAATTCCAGCACAGTGGAAGATTAGACATTTAAGCTTATACAGATGCTATGAAATCCTAAACCCACAAGCAACTTACATTCAAAGTAGGTAGATAAGACAATGGGTGTTAAAGGTGCATCTACAAGGCACCTGCCATCTGCTGCAACCTTATTAATGAAACCAACCAATGCTTATTACACAATTATTCTAAGCTCAGCAAAGTGCCCAGGAAATGTTATGGAGAAACAGAAGATAGATCTCTGCTTTCAAGGAGTCATGCTATTATTTGGAAACAAAATTTTATGGGATAGGATAACAACGACAGGCAAAATTAAAAAGAAGATAATCAAAGACTAAATATTATTTAAAACTAAAATGGGTATTGTGTGATAAAAGAGATCAATGTCAGCTAATGTGTTTGCCTTGTGCACATCTATTTTTTGTTTGGGGGTGGTTTGTGGATGAGTGTGTGTTCCAAAAGGCCACTTAGAAAGTTTCCTTCCCTGGTTTCCCTGCCCCAGGCAGTCACTCGCCTCACTGGCCTCCCTTACCTTCCTGGATCGCACTGTTTCTGTATACTTCCTGGGTATAAGGAGGCTGTCTCATCCCCAGTGCAGTCATCCTGAGTCAACAGTCTGCGGAAAGGCAGCACAGGGGCAGGAATGAGCACCTGGGGCAGGTTGCTAGACCTGCCTGGCTGGAACTGAAAATCCACATTAGGAAGCAGCAGAAGCTAAAATTCAGGTGAGCCTGATGCGGGCGGCCTTAGGAAAGAGCTGACAGCTGGCCTTCAGGTTTACACTTAATGTCATAGGCAATAGGCAGTTGTCATCATTTGTCCCTGAGCTGGCCAGTGACATGATGTTAACACTATTTTAGTTAAGAAGTTCCATGCATCTAGGCACATGGTTCACGACTACAGTACCAGCACTTTAGGAGGCTGAAGCAGGACCACTTGAGCTCAGCAGTTGCAGAATGAGCAGGGTAACACAGTAAAGACCCCATTTCTACAAAAAATTTAAAAAATAAAAAATGAGCTGGAAGCAGTGGAATGGGCCTATGGTCCCAGCTACTCAGGGAGCTGAGGTGGGAGGATCACTTGAGCTCTGGGTTGAGGCTCCAGTGAGCTGTGATTGCACCACTGCAATCCAGCCTGGGCAACAGAGCAAGACCCTGCCTAAAAAAAAAAAAAAAAAAAATAGCTCTGTGTAGGATGGTTTGACTGGAGAGGGTGATTCCTCCAGAAGTTACTGGAGGTGGATCAGTTTTGTTAAGAGCCTTCTGTAGGAAGAAGGTGCAATACAGGACAATACAGCTGGGAGATGAGGGTTGGGAACCAAGTGTTATCTTCTTTTATTCTTTTTTTTCCCCTTTTACCTGGCAGCTTAAGTGTTATCTAGCCACAGAAGAACAAAGCAAAGGTGGAAGATAATAGTTACAAAAAAAAAAAAAAAAAAAGTCTTACAGGCGGGTGAGTGGCTCAGCCCTGTAATCCCAGTGCTTTGAGAGGCCAAGGCAGGAGGATCGCTTGAGCCCAGGAGTTCCAAACCACCCTAAGCAACACAGAAGTTGAGAAATTTAATCATTTCTACAAAAGACTTAGAAATTAGCCAGTCATGGGGATGCACACCTATAGTCCCAGCTACTTGGGAGGCTGAGGAGGGAGGCTCCCTTGAAGCCCCTGACGCCAGGAGTTCAATGCTCCAGTCAGCTATGATCATATCACCGCACTGCAGCCTGAGTGACAGAGTGAGAACTCCTCTCTAAAAAACAAACAAAAAGTCTTCCGAATTTTACATCTTATGTACATCCTATCCACGGCACTAAATAAACCCAATAAAACATATTGATAATGTGAAGGGAAAAACCATGGCTACAGTAGTCGATGGAGGATCACACCACATTGAAAGGCAAATCAGCATCATGATTATTTCAGCATCAAATTAGCATCCTGATTAATTT